TGAGACGGTGATCCTGGCCCGCGGTCCTGGCCCCTGCAGTGAGCCGGTGGCTAGCACAGCCCCTGGGAAACTTCCGGGTGAGGATCTCTGATCTGAGTGTTTCTGTTTACTCAGACACTTTGTTTCTGATTCAGCAAAACACTCAGGCATGTTTACAAACGGTTGACCTTTGTGAAATTGAAGCTCCTTGTTCTCCACTGAAGTGGTTTTAGCAGTTGGCATGTCACGTAGCACAGCATCTTCATTTGTATGCCATATATCAGAGCTGCTTTGTTTCTGTGTGCCCGTTTTGGCATGGCTGCAGGACACCTCTGGTGGCTGGTGTCGGCTCCTTCCCCGTCCCTGCCCCCCGGCAGGTGCACATCGCCGGCTGCCAGACTGTTTTTTCCCCACCACAAAATGGCATTTGCAAAGACCTTGAGACCCAGGGGATGGGGGGCAGTCGACAGCTGCTGTCATGACGGCAGGGATGGCAGGTTACGTCTGAGCTGGGCACCGTGCTGGCCGTGGCCGGAGCAGCCCCGGGTACCTGGCAAGCCGACTGTGCCGCACCCACTGTCGAGCGGAGCGGGACGTGGTGGGAATGGTGCTGGTGGATCCCTGTGCCCTGGATCCCACTGCCCCCATGCAGGGGGCACACCAGGAGATGCTGCACGACCTGCCATAAAACTGACTGCCCCCAGAGATGGGGCAAACCCCCCCCAGGCAGCACCTCGGGAAGGAGCAGCTGCTCAGCCTGCCATGTGTGACATTCATCCCGGTGTCCTTGGATCAACTCCAGGCAGAAATTTCAAATCGTTAGCTCTTTGCATGACCTTCATTTGTTGCTTACTCGGCACTCGTGAGACTGCGCCTTGAGTCCTCTGTCCAGTTCTGGGCACCACAGGATGAGAAGGATGTTCAGGTGCTGGAGCAGATCAGAGAAGGTAAACAGGTAGATATAGCACTTGAGGCTATGGTCTAGTGGATAGGGAAATGTTGGGATTGAGGTTGGACTTGATGGTTCTAGAGGTCCAACCACAGTGATTCTATTCTAGTCTAGTCTAGTCCCTGGTGGGTGGTCGTTTATTTTCACAGCCTGTTGCTGAGGGTGGCACAGGCACTACTGCTCACCCTGGGGGTGCATTGCCATGGGGGTCCTGAGCAGGGGCTGGATGGGGGCTTTGGTGGGACTGTGCCCATATGGGCTGGGAATGCTTTGGCTGTGCCCCTGCACCAGACCTTGCCTGTCAAACCCCCCCCGAGGTGTCTGATTTGGGTCTGCCTCCTTGAGAAATACAAACTGGCCAGGTCCGCACGTGCCGGGGCTGCTGGGGCTGGCACCCTCCTCAGGGGGGTGGCTCCTGGTGTGGCTCCTCTGGGAGGTGGTGGGAGGTGTCCTCCATGGATCTTGCGGAGCCACCGTGCCGGCCACGGAGTCTGTGGCAGTGTCGAGGGGCTGAGGGGCTGTTGGCTCTTTGGGGACAGTTCTCACATCTGTCTGGCGGTGAGCCTGCAGCCCGCTGGAACTTGTAGGTTAGTTTCTGTAGGCAGATCATGAATAATTCAAATTAGCAAATGTAGCAACAAAATGGATTTAAAAATTAGTATACAAGGGTCTGTTTTCTGTGAATCAGGAATGTGCAGCTTGACTGTCCCTATCTTTTTGCAGACCCCAAGCAGCAATTGAAAGCACTGCACACCTTCCTGGGCAACCAGCAGCGCTCTGTTGTCCTGTGGTAGTAATGTGCCTTCTCTTTCTTGTTTTCCGTTTTTTAAGCAAGTAATGAGAATCAGATAGTGCTTTGCTCAGTCAAAAAGGTGTTTTCTGCAAAGAGCTGTAAGCTGAGTCAGTGCTGCTGTTGCTGCAAGTTGTCTGTGTGGGACGAGGTGTGCTGGGAAGGAGAGGCCACATGGCCTGGCTGGCTTTCAAAAGACGTGTCTTCATATGGTGTCTGTTCTTCTGCGCCCCCAGATCCTGTGGTCCCTGCTGTCCCCTGGAATGTCTTGGGAATGAGCCATGCCTGTCAGACAGCGTTCTGCTCCCCGTACCCCCGTGGTGAAACCTCTGCGTTCTGTCAATGTGGTGGTGGAATGTCTTTGTTTTGGTTGGAAGAGACCTTTGAGATCATCGAGTCCAAGTGTGAACCCGGCAGTGCCAGGTCACCACTAACCCATGTCCCTCAGCACCACACCTCCACAATACATCTTCGAGCTCTTGTGAGCCTTTGTGCAGACACACAACACTTTTTAGCTTTGCTCACGGTTCCATTACAACTTATGTAACCCTTTAAAAAAACACTGACAGGGGTGGGTAAGGAGCTGGCCGCGGGGCAGCTGCAGGAGCCCACAGCCACCTCTGGCATTGCTAAGATAGCTCGTGTGGAGACAGGCTCTGGTGCAAGGCTTGGACATGGTCCCAGAGAAACCACGTGCCTGCTTTTCTCTGCCCTCCTATTTCTCCCCCTGCTCTCAGCAGTTTCCCACACCACAGTATGAGCGAGCTGATGGACTTACCAGAGTACTGTTCAAAGTTGGAAAAGACCTTTAAGATCATTAACTCCAACTGTTAACCCAGCACTTGGTGGGATTTTAAAACAGCTGTGCTGGAGCTGGCCCAGCCCCATCTCCATGGCATGGGGTGGACACGTCCGTCACAGAATCCCAGCACGGTGGGGTTGGGAGGGACCTCTGGAGTTCATCTCATCCACGCCCCTGCTCCAGCAGGTCACCCACAGCAGGGTGCCCAGGGTCACATCCAGGTGGGTTTGGGATCTCTCCAGAGCAGGAGACTCCACAGCCTCTCTGGGCAGGTGCTCCAGGCTCAGCCACCCTCACACCGAAGAATTTTCTCCTCCTACTCAGATGGAACCTCCTGGGTTCCAGTTGGTTCCCATTGCCCCTTGTCCTGTCAGTGGGCACCACTGACAAGAGTCTGGCCCCATTGTCTTTCCCCCCACCCTTTGGACATTGCTCAGCATTGATCAGATCCCATTCTGAGTCTCCTCTCCAGGCTGAGCAGCCAAGGGACTCAGCACAGAGATGCCCCAGTCCCTCGGTGTCTTTGTTGCCAGGCGGCTCTCGGTGGGGTCATTCTCCTTCTCCCCCCTGACACTGTCTCATGCAGGCAGCTTCCTGCCCTGCCTGGGAATGACCCTGCCCAGGGCTGCAGCTCCAGCTCTGGTGTGCTGGGAGGGGACAAGCAGGCACATCAGGTCCCAGGCCCCAGATCCTCATTTGTCCTGGTTGCAGTCCATACGGCTGGTGGTTGCCCTCCGCTCTGATCCACCAAGACCTCTTTGAGCCTGACCCTCCAGCCTGGTGTTCACCTGCTGCATTGTGTCCAGCTCTTACCATGTGCTGGCATTTTATTCAGAGGATACAGTATCAAAAACTCTCCTAAAATCCAAAACCCCTTGTCCACTGGTGGGTAACCTCATCCTAACCTTGTCATTCCTATGCTGTGGTTTGAGTCTCTATCTCCTTGTGTCGCCGTCTCATCTTGTAACAGTATTTCCAAACTTGTAAATCACGTTGCTGATTTGGTTTTAATCTTGTGTAGCTCTTGAAATGAACTTGGCTGAGTCGAAGCACATTACTTTAATCACAGCTACAAATCTAAATTAGCAGTATTAAGTTAGCAAATGGAAATGAGCGTGGTGACTCCAGCCGAGCTGTCTGGGGAGCCCGGCGGCCATGCTGCGAGTGCCCCGAGCTGCCGGCTCCGTCTGACCCGCTACTAGGTCAGAGATCTGTGGGTCTAGATCAAAGAGAAAAGTCTGTCCTGGAGAGGGTGGGTGGCCACCCCCCGTGAGGGCAGCCCCTGTGTCGAGAGGTGGCCGTCCGGCTGGCGCTGGGGGGTTCAGGGTTGGAATTGTCCCTGTGCTTGGCATCACCTCCAAGCCTGTTTCACCTGCAGGACCTCTCCGACCTGCGTGGGCTGAGGAAGCAGGCCGCAGAAGGTCAGTGGGTGCTGGGAAGTTTCCTTTCCTCCAGTCGAGGGTGGCAGTAACAGGTGGTTCTGGCAGTGGTGCCCAGCATGACCGTCATGGTAGGCCGTGCCCATGGCAGCGTACTAGCTGAAGAACGCAGTAGCATACACATTTTTTTTCTAATGGGGACTGGAGGGTTGGAGCCAGTAGTCATGAAAACCTGCAGTCCCCTGAAGCATCAGGAAAACAATAAATGAATAGTGCTGAAGAGCAGGGTTTAGAGACTGGCATTTTCACTTATCCTCCTGCAACTTGTTGGCTCCTCTTAAATTGCATGGCACCATGGATGGATTATGGACAGACTGGACAATCACAGCGTCACGGAATGGTTTGGATTGGAAGGGGCCTTTAAAAGGTCACTTAGTCCAACCCCCTGCAGGGAGCAGGGACATCTGCAGCTAGAGCAGGGGGCTCAGAGCCCAGAGCAAACTCACCTGGGATGGTTCCAGGGATGGCGCAGCGACCACCTCTCTGGGCAGCCTGGGCCAGGGGCTCACCACCCTCAGTGTAAAACATTTCTTCCTTCTCTCTTGTCTAAATCTCCTTCTTTTAGTTTAAAACCATCACCCCTTGTCCTATCTCTAAAAAGTCTGTCCCCAGCTTTCTGACAGTCCCCTTGAAGCCCTGGCAGCCCCCAGCAGGTCTCCCCAGCTGGATCCTTCTCCTCTCAGGCTGCCCCAGCCCAACTCTCTCCTGCTGGGCTCCCAGCAGAGGGGTTCCCCCCTCGGGGCATTGCTGGGGCTCCTCTGGCCCTGCTCCAGCAGGTCCCTGGCTCTGCTGTGCTGAGGACTCGGCAGCTGGACAATAGGAGCAGTAATTGCTGTCCTGACACTAAACATCTTTAAATATCCATGGTGATTCAAACTCACACTTATGGCAAGCTGTGAGACTGTGTTTTGCATGGGCTGCATTCGTGCATTCCTGGGCCGATAACACGTGAGGGATCTGACCTGCACCCCTGTCCTTGTGCTGGGCCGGGGGAGCCAGCGCCGGCTGAGGTTAGACCATGTTCTGGTTTTATTTAGATCCCTCTTGTCGTGGCGGCTTCTCTTGGTGCGTGGGTTTTTTTTTTATTTGCATTTTTTGAGTTTTGAATGACATAAAATTAGCTCCTTTTGAGTTTATTCCAAAAATAGCATTAGGAGCTTAAATGTTGGTGGAGATAGCTGTAAACCTGTGGAGCTGCCATGATTTAGAGGCTGTTGAGAGTTTCAGCTTAGCAGGCAGAGCACAGATGCTCATCCCTCCGTTCCAGCGCAGAGGTGGCACCGTGGCGAAGTGTCTCCAGGCTGTGAGGTCAGAGCACCCGTGGAGAGCCAGGTGCCCGGGTGTACCTGTGTGTGTATGCAGATGTGTCAGTGGTTGTTCTGGAAGGTAGCGTGGAAGCTTTTATGTCAGGATACAGAGGATGATGAGGACATCAGGTAACAAGATGAGGGTGACACACCATTACGTGAACCTCAGTTGTGTGATTTAACCACAGACAGCTCGTCTTTGCTTTTTTATTCTGTCATTTGGTTGTCGTGCAGAGACTAACAGGCATTTGCTGTCCCTTGCAGGCTCTTGAACCTGATCTACAATGGAAAAACTGCTTTTGTTTCTGCTGTTCATTGGCGCGGCGGTGAGAGCTCAGATCTGCCCAAAGCGCTGTGTCTGTCAGATCTTGTCTCCAAACCTTGCCACCCTTTGTGCCAAGAAAGGGCTCTTGTTTGTTCCTCCCAACATTGACAGGAGGACCGTGGAGTTACGGCTGGCAGACAACTTTGTTACAAACATTAAAAGGAAGGACTTTGCCAACATGACCAGCCTGGTGGACCTGACGCTGTCCAGGAATACAATCAGTTTTATTACACCTCACGCGTTTGCCGACTTGCGCAATTTGCGGGCTTTACACTTGAACAGCAACCGATTGACTAAGATCACTAACGACATGTTCAGTGGGCTCTCCAACCTTCACCACTTGATACTTAACAACAACCAGCTGACTTTAATTTCTTCCACAGCTTTCGATGACGTTTTAGCTCTTGAGGAATTGGATTTGTCTTACAACAATCTGGAAACCATCCCCTGGGATGCAGTGGAGAAGATGGTTAGTTTGCACACTCTCAGTCTGGATCACAACATGATCGACCATATTCCTAAGGGAACCTTCTCCCACCTCCACAAGATGACCAGGTTGGACGTCACATCTAACAAACTGCAGAAGCTGCCGCCTGATCCTCTCTTCCAGCGAGCTCAGGTACTAGCAACCTCAGGAATTATCAGCCCCTCGACTTTTGCGTTGAGCTTCGGTGGGAACCCTTTGCATTGCAACTGTGAGCTTCTGTGGCTGAGGCGCCTTTCGAGGGAGGACGACCTGGAGACCTGTGCTTCTCCCACGCTCTTGTCCGGCCGGTACTTCTGGTCGATCCCCGAGGAGGAGTTCCTGTGCGAGCCTCCGCTCATCACCCGGCACACCCACGAGCTGCGGGTGCTGGAGGGGCAGCGGGCGGCACTGCGCTGCAAGGCCCGCGGGGACCCCGAGCCGGCCATTCACTGGATTTCCCCCGAGGGCAAACTGATCTCCAATGCCACGAGGTCCGTGGTGTATGACAACGGGACGCTCGACATCCTTATAACCACGGTGAAGGACACGGGCTCCTTCACCTGCATCGCTTCCAATCCGGCTGGGGAGGCCACGCAGACGGTGGACCTGCACATCATCAAGCTCCCCCACTTGCTGAACAGCACGAACCACATCCACGAGCCCGACCCCGGCTCCTCGGATATCTCCACCTCCACCAAGTCGGGCTCCAACGCGAGCAGTAGCAACGGGGATACTAAAGTCAGCCAGGATAAGAAGGTGGTTGTTGCGGAAGCAACGTCCTCGACTGCTCTGCTGAAATTCAATTTTCAGAGGAATATACCTGGGATACGTATGTTCCAAATCCAGTACAACGGTACTTACGATGACTCCCTTGTTTACAGGTAAGGCAGCCACGGCCCCCGCAGCCCCCAGCAGAGCCCTGCCCCTTGCAGCAGATAGTGGGAGTCTCTGCAGAGGCTCGAGCAATTTTCTACTTGCAAACAGGGGAATTACCTTGAACGGTGTTATTTTTAGATAATCCAAACAGACCTCTAATCCTCTGAACTAATCTGGTTGGCAGGAAGGTTGCAAAGTGAGGTGAGTTAAATGGGTCTCAGCACCCTCAGCTTTATGGAAGTGCAGGGAGAGCGGTGTCCCTGCACGTGTTCCTCGTGGTGCTTTCTGGCTGTGTCCCTGCTGGTGTGCTGCTGGCTCCAACAGTCACACCGTTCAAAACTGTTTTTGCTTGGTGATTTCTACTGGTTTTGATGTGGTCGCTCTCGTAGAACAATAGAATGGTTTGGGTTGGAAGGGACCCTCTAGTTCCAGTGCCCCTGCCATGGGCAGGCACAGCTTTCACTAGACCAGGCTGCTCAGAGCCCCATCCAGCCTGGCCTTGGACACTTCAATGGGTAGAGCATCACCTACCACCTCTCTGGACAACCTGTTCCAGCATCCCACCACTCTCATAGTGAAGAACTTCCTCCTTACATCTAACCTAAATCTGCCTTCTTTCAGTGGGAAGCCATTACCCCCCAACATATTGCTACATGCCCTTGTAAAAAAGTCTTAAACTTTTCTAGCTTGTCGTTGTCTTAGAGAGGAGAGGCACTTCTCAAAGTGTGTGTGAGAGCTGTAACTCCAGCACCTGTGCTCCAAACTGCCTCCAAGACCACGCTTGGCTTCATGAACCATTTTTGCACAATATCACCGTGTCGGTGTACAGAGGGATTCTTTGGTGATGTGCTGAGTACAACGGTTTGCTAATTTTATGATAATATTTTCAGTATGCCAGATGCATCCCTAAACCACCAGACTGAGACTATTTCTGCAGTGCAAGACTTGAGTACTGTTTCAGTGGGGAATCATAGAACGGTTTGGGGTGGAAGAGGCTGTAAAGATCACTTAGTTTCACCCCTCCTGCCATGGGCAGGGACACCTCCTACTAGATCAGGTTGCTCAGTGCCCCATTCAGCCTGGTCTTGAGGACTTTCCCGGGGGGCTTTGCCACACCGAGCTGTGCCGGGGGACCCATCGGTGGCTGCTGCTGCACCAGACGTGGGGCAGCAGCTGCTGTGGGGGCGGCTGACAGCCCAGCAGGGCTGGAGAAACCGAGCTCTGGTGATGTTCACCACAGGCCAGGGCTGCAGCACGTGGTGGGGAGGCGCCCGTGGCTCTGCTGAGTTCATTCATGCCGATTTCCTTCTCTCTCAGAATGATACCTCCCACAAGCAAAACCTTCCTGGTCAACAACCTGGCTGCCGGGACCATGTACGACCTGTGCGTCCTGGCCATCTACGACGACGGGATCACCTCGCTCACGGCCACCCGGGTGGTGGGCTGCACGCAGTTCACCACCGAGCAGGACTACGTGCGCTGCCA